CTACTTTATGCTGTCATGTGAGTCTTTATCTAATGCTGATTTTGGTATCTCAGGCCACCATGGGCAAAGTGTAACATCACACGCACCAGTGATGCACTGTTATGACCCCATGATGAAAGAAGGCCTTTGATGCGTTTGTGTTTTGCAGGACCACAACCCAGGCTGTGCAGAACAGGAAACAAGTCTGTTTTTTTTGATAAACCCAAACCCAGGCTCTTGGGAGTGTCCGTATTGCGTCTACATGCTCGATTTTCGGAAAAGCTCCTGCAAAGATGCAAAGTGTGCCAAACAGGTGGATGCCGTAGGAACACAACACGATGTCGCATTTCCGCTCATAGTCAAGACCTTATCTTTGTACATTATCAATATCAGGTTTGACTGGTGTTGTCAAATACCACCAGTCTCAGAGTTAAAGTCCATTGTCATAAAAAGTTGTCTTCTGTCCATTTAGAGCAGGTAATAGTTTGTTAATCAAGCTGCAGACCTATAACAGTGTTCCAACTTTGAAGGAAGTGTTGGACATTTTGGGAAGTATTGGATAAGAATATTTATAACAGTCTCATGTCTGTACGGTAAAGATGAATCTTCAGCCAGCAGCTGTTTAGCTTAGCTTAGCATAAAGACCTCGCTCTGTTGGTAACAAAATCCATGTAACGGCACTAATAAAGCTCACTAGTTAATGTTATATCTTTAAAATAACATACAATATATAACATGTGAATTGGTGAGCTTTGGATGTGCTGGTAGGCTTTATCACCTTTGGACAGAGCCAGGCTAACTGCCCCCCCCCCCCCCCCCTCTTTCCAGTCTCAATGCTAAGCTAAATTTGGAGTAAGAATGTCAAACTATTTCTTTAAAATTAATATCTGTTCTATACTCTTGACCATTGTGATTATCTCGCTTGCATGCCTGTACTTTTCCATTTGTAGTTTATATCTCATCCAACCACTTTGTGGTTTGAATATGTCATCGACTCACATCAATGCCCTATAATTAGGTTTAAATGATTATCACATGTCATTACCTCGTGTTTGGCACTTAAAGGTATATGACCTTGTCAGTCAGGTAAATAAAACATTTAAATGGATCTTTCTCTTATTTTGAACTTATATTAAAGATTTTTCGCAATTAAAACAATACCAACGATAAATACAAGTCATTTATCTCTCACTAATTAGCTGATGTGTCATCTGTTTGATCTGGGAGAGTCACTTGTGTCTCTTCCAGGGTTGACGCACCCATGGGACAGGTCCCATTACAAACACACATATCAAGATTCCTAGAATTTCACTCAGAGTTTGAAGATGCTCTCTGTTGATCAATTTTACAAGGAAAAGAGTCTGTGTAGCTCACTGTTTTTACAGCAGAGGGTTCATTGAAAAGTAACTGTGAGAAACTGGTGAGCTCCCACGGCACTGCAAACCTGCCCTGAGAGAGCGACACAGGAGCTGGTGATGGACACTGACTCGTGAGAAAAACAAAGCAGGGCAGCCTACGTGCACAAGGGCACAGCCTGAGGCCCGGGCTCCCATTCAGAACGGGAGAATTTGAGATGCCTGTTGAGTCAGGTGAAAATTATCCCAAGGTTTCAGTAGAGCCACTATCGGATGAGGAGGTCAACAAATAAACCAGCCTGCAGGGGAGATCCTCACATGAACTCAGCAAAGTAAATCCAAAACATCAGAGCCCAACGATGGATAAAATGACAACATGTCATGTGACTTTGAAGTAGGCTTTATTGTGCTTTATGGCATCTTCCAGCTCATTCTTGGCTTTATAGCACACAACTTTACTGTTTTCATTCAGTCTCACCGCTCTCATAGCAGGCCATTTTTTTCAGTGGGAAAAGCCCTAAAAACCCACTGTTCAGTGAAAAAGCCATTAAAACCCCACCTGCCCAGCACCAAACGCTACACAAATTCAGCAACAAGCTTGTGAACGAAATTAATGCGGACCAAAAACCTTAAAAATAGTTAATATTGGACTTTATGTTGCCCAAAAGGGTCCAAAATATAAGTTAATGCAGATATGTTCAAGGCTTTTAAGTGAAAAAAATCAACAAATACAAAAATATGACATTGTGCTTTCCGAAATACGCTTATCGCTTTGGTTAGATGAGAAGATTGATACAACTCTATTGTCTGTACACTAAATGTAAAGTCAGAACCAGTAGGTGGCTAGCTTAGCTTAAAGCAGGGGGAAACAGCTAGCCTGCTCTGTCCAAAAGTAAACCTCCCTTCTTCAAAGGAGATATAAATTGTTAATAAGTGAGCTTCAGAGGTACCGGTAGTGGATTTCATTACCTTGGAACAGAGCCAGGCTTATGCTAAGCTAAACCAACTGCCTGCTGGCTGTAACTTCATATTTACCGTATCAAGGGAATGCGCATATTTCCCCAAAATGCCAAACTATTGCTTGAAACTATTCACTTAATTTCTCTATAAGATTATTTTTGGCTGCAGGCCTGGAAGCACATGGAAGAGGATTCCTCTGTGAACAGCGAAAGCAACATTTCCAAGCGTCGCTAAGTGCATCAAAGCGTCCAACAGAATATAATTTCATGCAAAAGTTTTGTCCAAATAGGACAAAACTTGGACGACTTGTCGCTGGCATCCTGCGCGTTTGATTTAGTGCACAATACCATCCCTCAGAACGCTAGCACCAGGCTTTTGTTCCAGAAAAATGTCTGTTATTGTTTTCGTTGGGCTTTCAAAGGATTTGCATTTTAAAACCAAACATAAACAAACTGTTCCATAATGTGTCATTCCTTGCCCTGATGTCCCCTCGCCGCCGCTGCTGTCATATGAATGCAGGCGTCCTTCCTCCTCTGCCATCATGCCTATTTTCACTTCAATATGCTTCAACCACGCACCTGTAACAAAAGACATGTGCATCATCTGTAAGGTGATGATGTCACCTCATCTCTGCTTGTGTATTGGACCTAGTGGTCCTAGACAGGAAGAGGAAAGGGAGAGAAGCGCATTTTGTTTCAGCACTCCATCATTTTAGCTTTAGCACGAGAGTTTTCTCTGCATGTTTGATAAAAACTATACATTAGCATTTTATCACCTCAAACGTATGGAAAAAAAGTTTTCTTTACCATCACTGCAAACGACTAATATAGAGGAAATGGTATAAGCGTGATTCCCGACACTTCTTTCAGAACAAAGTGAAACTTGCTGCTGTGTTGCTTGTTTCTAATTCTACATTTAAGGCATTTTGTTGAAAAACCTGTGCAGTCCGTTTGTGGCTTACACTCGACCTTTCCCCCAGCGTTTCCCTGTTATTGTTTTCCCAAGGTTTCAAAGGCAGAAGATAAAATACAAAGGGAACACATTTTGACAAATCCTACCCGTTACCCTCCCTCTTTGCAGAGCTTTCGTGCACAGTGAAAATGCATGCATTTCCCATAATTATTTTCTTAATTTTTTTTTGACATCCACTCAGACCGGACACCTCCCCTCGATCCCAAACAAAAGGTAGCGCGTAGTTTGGGTTTTTTAAATTTGTTTTTTTTGGCCTTTGGTAACAAACATCCCAGATCACAGAAGACGGATTGAATGGGGGGGTGGGGTGGGGCAGACATGTCATACAGTATCTCCACCAACATAGTGAAAGATCATTAGATCACACATGTGGGTGTTTTCAATAACTCATTGTTAGAAGGCTGAGAAGTGAAGGCAAGCAGACAGATGCTGCATTCAAAACGAGCAACATGGTAATGAGAATACATCAATCAGTACTAAATACAACTTTATCAATCCATTATATTCAAAATACGTCTTTAAAGTGATAGTGTCACTATCAAACATTCTTAAAAACAACTTACTAGACATAAACTCTAGGGTTATCTGGGACTGAGTACATTATTGAGTAAAAGATAAAGAACAATGGAAAGAACAAACATTAGAACCATAGTTAAGATAACATGGGAGACAAGTAAGTAAAGTAACTCATTTAGGGTTGAGTATGATGATATATACCATGCTGTACCTTATGTGTCAGATATTTAATTTCCTGGTTCACCCAAAAACAATTCCTTCCTAATTATTTTATCCACAGGTGGTTGCTCTGTAGTTTTTCCAGAAATGTCACAATTAACGGCAATATATCGTAATATTACAGTATCAAATTTAGTACCACTTTCAAATAAAGCACCCTTTATAAACGGTTTATAAGTTGTGATTAACAGTGCTAATAATAGTTACCAAATCATTTACGAAGGATTCATAGATCAGGCATAAACCATTAATGAGTGTTGGGTTGCCAGGTTGTGAAGACTCAGTATCCTGAGACTCCAGTGTTTAAAAAAAAAACACGGAAAAAAAAATAGATTGAGGAAAAGACAAGGAAAGGACTTCCTTCATAAAGATATATTTGAAGATTTTTAAATATATAAATAAAGAGTTAGATAAATACTATTTTAGAGAAGATGAATTAGCTCTTTTTCCACAAGCTTCAGCTTTAAAGTTTTGATTACAATAAACACATCAGTAATATAAGATAATAATAAAAAACAAAAACAGAATAAACTTTATTGGCCAGGTATGTGTACACATACAATTAATATGACTGTTTTTTTCATTGCTCTCAGTGTACTTACAATAAATACAAAAAAATAAGTGTTTCTGTAAGTTGTGACATGATGATATGATGTATATGATCTATACAACTAGCAGGCGCCGTTCTGCTGCATAGCAGCTCAGTACTTGTTGCTTTTGATACTAGTATATTTAGCTGATACTACTTTAATAATACTAAGGTTAGGGCTTGAATGTAGGACTTTTACTTCAAAGGGGTGTTTTTACATTGATGCTCTTATTTAAGTAAAGGATCTGAATACTTCCACCACAGCTAGCAGGCGTGATAACCCGGCCTCCTCCCCCATCCCTCTCTCTTCCTCCTCCCTCTCTCTTCCTCCTCCCCCACCCCTCTCTGTGTGTGAGTGTTCTGAATTAAAAGCCTTTGTGCTCCTTCATTGGTTGTGTTGCAGGATGGGCTTCCAGTACGGACACACCCCGTTCAAAGAATTGCGTCAGCTATATATTGTATGGACCACGGCCGCCTGGCCCCGGTACTTCTCCGGCAGCCCAAACCCGAACATCCTGGAAGAGACTTTACACATCCCTGAAGCTGTGAGCTAAAACGACGCGGGAGAGAGAAAAACACACACAACTCAAGCTGCCGGGCTTTTATAGACTAAGGACTCGAAGCATTTCTCTCTATTAAAAGAAAGAACACTCGACTGAAGTTTAAAGTCATTTCAACGGAGCAGAAATTCCTCTACGATGACCGACTTCTGAGCGACACTCACCGGGAGACCTCCGAGGAAGTTCTACCATCACCCTCAACAATCACAAAATAAGAAGGCGAAGAAGAAGAAGAAGAGTTTGTCGCTCACATCGCAGCCATGGACTCCGGCAAGGTAGTTATTCTCTGTGTGACTCTTTTTGTTCCTCCCTTCTTTTCACAACAGGTGTTTAAATCCTGTCGAGCCTGTTGGGTTGCATGTGTTTATTGTTTCAGCCCCACGCTGTCACTGAGGACCGGTTCAGTCACTCCACAGTATTTGTTGTTCTTACCCATGATACACTTCCACATGTGCCATGATGGAGAGCCGTGATGCCGCGAGTGCCCACGTTGTCTATTGCGGCGTTATTACCCCTCCGTACTGTTAGCAGTAGTTAAAAGTACTCTTTTGTCATCACTTCTATATCACTTATGATACACTTTAATAGTCCAGTACGTGTCTACACTTAATAGTAACCTTAAGTCGCTACATTATTTATTATTTTCCTGTATTATATGTCTAAAAATCAACAGTTTTGCAGCTCAATTTGAGCTTTCTTACTAACTATTTCCTCTGCCTCATGGTGAGTGGGGGGTATATAGTGCTTTGTCATGTCTCGAGCCCTGTGTGCGGTGCTGCGTGATGCAGCATTATGTCACTGCAGACTGTATTCAATGCGTTTCTCTTCCTGTATAAAAGCTACCTGACTAAAGTCTGATCGAAGCTATTTATACACAAGAGTCTTTTATAAGAGCCTTATACAGCAGTGTTTGTTTCGGCCCAAGAGGAAGAAGTACAAGTAGCAAATGGAAATACTCAATGTGCAAGTACTGCTAAATTGTACTGGATTAAAATGCTAACAACCCACAAATAAGTTGCTTAAATAATTGTTCTGTTTTTGAAATAGTTTTCTGTCTCTAATCAATTGATTATTTGAATCCCCTGCTTTTGGTTTGGGACAAAACCAGACAGTGGAAAGCATCCTCTTAGCCTCTGAGAACTTGTGATGGACGACTTTTCATCGCATCTAATCCATTTGCCTCTAAACTCGATGCTGACCGAGAAGAGTGTGTTGGAACATTTGTAATGTTTCTCCAGTAATCTGATCCAAACAACCTCTTTCAAACCTCATCTCGGTTACAGCTTTAGAGAAAGTAAACAGGACTTATCTGGTTCTTGTTAATACTGCCGGCATCCTGGTGTGGCTTGTGATTACTATTACACACACACACACACACACAGACACGCTGCATAATGAAGCACGTACGCCACCGACTTCCCCCTCCTATTTGGTCATGGCTATACAACCAGTTAAACCCAGTGGAGCAGCACCAGGCAGCCCAGTCCGACACAGAGGTCTGAGAATGTTTCCTTAGCTGTCACCACTAGACTGCTCTCGGGGGAGGGGGGGGGGTCGTCAGCTGGACGCGGGTTTGTTGTGGACGTGATGGGAACAGTTCTCCATGTTCCCAGTTTCCACTGTGACACCGACACAGCAGATTTCCAGAGGGAGTGCGACTCGACAGAGGGAAGCGCTCCGCCTATTGCTGGGGCGTTAAAGCCCCGTCCCTTCCCAGGCTGTTGGCTTCACTCCCTCCTTTGTGTTGCGTTGCCTCCAGCAGTGTTGAGCTGTTTTTTTCTTCTTCTTTCGTGGCCGTAGCTAAACAGAAGTTAAGCGCGGGGGGTTATCGAACATCTCGTGGTCAGGATTTTCATACCTGGCTTGTGCTTAGTGTTGGGCCTATTTATGTGCAGATGGAGTCCAGTTGGTGGAAACTTCACCAAGTGACGCACAGAAGTGGTAGAACTACAGTTTCACAGACCCAGAGTGTAAAACCCGCCCAGGCAACCATTGATTCAGTCAGGTGTCTCACGTATTACGCTCAGTCCACGTTTACTGACTGTGCGTTTGATTCAGGGAGATGCAAATCTAATGTCACCCATCTGTAACTTAATTACATGGTTCCTCTTAATTTCTTTCAATGCAGCTGTATTTAAATTACAATGTGGTTATTTCCATCACAAACACGGCGTGTTAATGACTTCACATTGTTGGCCGTACGAGAGCTTCACTCTCATCAACAGGAAGCTTTGTTTGTATCTGAGAAGCTCACCTCAGTGCTGTTGTTGTCCCCCAACAAAGAATGAATAATAGTAATTGGGGTCAAGCAGACCGTTGACCTGCTCTGTTTTGGATAGAAACGGCCACTCAGCATTTTATTCCTGGTAGACTTGACGACACAGGTATTTTGATTGGGAGTCCGGAGCCAACAAGCCGCCTCCATTGTCCAGACGTAATTGCACGGGCTTAACTCTTCTCCATCCGCTGCCTCTCAGCCATCTGCCAACTCCTGCCTCCCTTCAGACAGTCCAGTAGGTTTACTTTCATCTGCATGACCGGCCCCTTCAGTGTGTCTCACGGTGTAACGGTCAGCCATGTTCTAATGGGGCTTAATGAGATCTGGGAGGGTTTTAATTGAGACGAACAAGCAAGCGAGAGTGCTCCTTTAATTCACTTTTCTGAGAAGCTGGAGGACTGTGCACACGGCACTGATCCCTCTGTTCACAGGGACGAGATGGTCGGATGAAGCGGTTCAAGCGGGGCCACGCTGTGTCCCCTCTGGGCCCCTTTTGACTTTCTCACGATTCAGTTGAAATTAGCTTGCCGTCATCAATCAGAACCCTTTTGAACCACCGGGCTTTAACTGATGTGTTTGACCTCTGAACTCTTGCGCTGCAGAGTCAGTTTGAACGGTGCGACTTTTTTTAATCTGACCTGAGCGGAACAGTTACAGAATCTGAAAATTGTGTGACGTTTGTAGGATTTACTACGTGGGAAATTTACTTTGTTGACCTGTAAAACTATCGTTTCAGCAGTTTTACTCCTTAATCTAATAATTATGAAAAGATTACACAACTCAAATTAGTATTATTGTCTTTACTTCTGTGAAATGATCCTATGATATACTCGTGCTATTGTTTGTATTGGCCCCAAACATCGAGTCTAACTGTAAAAAGACTTTTATCCGATCCCACTGTGACGGGCTGAAGCTTCACTGGCTCTGACCAATAATGCTTTATCTCACTTTCTATTTGTGTTCACTGTGGTATGCACAACGCGTACACATAAATACGCACTTTTAAAAACAAAATGATGATCTATCTAAGGCTACTTGTCTCATGCAGAAGATGAGTTTGTCTTCTACAGTGTTTGAATAAAGGATAATAATAACCGGGAGTACCAGGAAACTCGGACAATTACATGGTGCACATTCAACTGTGTGTCGTTTTGCATATATTTGTCAATGGAAGTTTTCAAAGGCAAATATGCCGATCCCTTTTACATTACTACATTATTCATCAGGTTATTCTGCCCACGGTTACTGTAGAAATCATCATTCTGAATAAGTGTTTAGCACTAAATAAAGCATGCATTAGGCCTAGACATAATTAGGCTTAAATCAGTCCTAGTATGTGGGCTTTAACTTTAATGACAGCAGTGTCTTAACAGTCTAATGTAAGAACAAGATGTCGCTCTACATTAAAACAAACACCAAGATATTTGGGAGCTGTCCCCAGCATGCGGAGGCTGTAAGCTTTAAAGCTGAACCGAGCTGAGAGGAGGTGGGGACATATTGGCTTGCTGTAAGCTGAGACCTAGAGGTGACGTTTAGAGGGACGTGGCGGCAGCAACTTAGGCCGTCAGGTGCACTCTGGAAACCAGGAAGTGGTCTGAGTCGAATTACAGCCTGCTTCTCTTCTCTTCTCTTTTCTTTTTATGATTAAACAATGACCCGATTCAGAGGAAGCCGGACATGATGAGTCACAAACTAAGTAGTGTTACAGTAAAAACGAAACAGTGACGTAAAGTTAAGCAGAATTTGTTTCCAGTCTTCCGGTGACTTTGTGCTTTAGTGTTGACGTTAGGAGTTGACTTCAGAGTGTTCACCTAAATATTTTATATTTTCCCTTTGTTGGCCGTCACATTGACTTTACTACCTGGACAACATGTCTGAGAATGAAGAGGCAGAACCGGAATGTTTTGCATACTGGAAGTGAAATGTAGCAATGCAGACACTTCCTGTAGCTAACCTGAGGCAGTGTCCGCTGTCAGGGTCAAGTACTGTACTGAAGTACAGCTTTGAAGTACTTGTACTTCACTAAGTTTTTCTATTTTATGTGACTTTATACTTCTACTCTTTTACATTTTATTTATCTCTCAGCGATATTTGCTAGTAAAGTTTCAGATTCAGCTTTTACATTATTGAAAAAAACACCTTTTGAGTTAAGTATTTATACTTAAAACTTTATTAAGTAATATTTTGAAGTATTTTAACAGTATTGTTGTATATTACTTAAGTTAGGGATCTCAATAATTCTTCCAGCACCACCCACATTTGAGAGAACTACTAATGCTGTAAGCTCTGTGATAGTAGCTGTTCAGTGATTATCAGGTCGTGGACATTTCTATGTAGGTTAACCGCTTCAGTGTGTATCATGTTTTAAAGCATTCACGTCACCCTCCCGTCAGCTTGTCAGAGCTTAAGTTACCGTTTCCTGTTTTGACTCTCTGTGTGTTCAAGCATTGGTAGATGTATTTAACTAAAAGTCACATTTAATAACCGAGTGTTTACTTAGCAGGAGATAACTCGCTGTCAGTGTTTACCCAATAAGAGCAGAGAGTCTGTGGTGCCAAGCAACCGAAGATGCTATCAACAGTGTCAATTATAGAAAGCAACAATGACCAGACAGAAACGTCCTCGCTGCCTACACACACACACACACACACCGTGTTTTACTTTTTACATACAAAGAGGGCACGTTTGCATGGATGCTCCAGGGAGCGTTTAGATGTAATTACCCTTATTACACTCAACATACCAGGTGCTGATACTGAAGTTTGAAACTGTGGTGAGAAATGAACCGTCAACAGCCTTTTGACAGTTCATGTCGTTTTTTTTGTTTTTTTTACATCTTCAATTTGAAGGTTAAAAACTGTGAAAAAGTGAACAAAAGTCGCTGAGACCTGTGCAGGCTAGATTCCACAAGCGATCATTCACTTTCACTCGTTACTGACATTTTTATGAACCCAAATCCTTGTGAGTCATGACTGAAGATATCCGTAAATCTTTGTTAACTACAAGGCATTAACTACTCCTTCAAATCTAGCTTTCACTGATAAGTATTTATGTTGTTTAAACAATGAACATGCTTAATAGATAATTAGATGTTATTTATACTGATCCCTCATGTTGAGAAATGTTTGGTTAGTAATAGTTATTTTTCCTTTTTTGCATCATAATAGTACGATCCTTCTAATTGAATTCCTGCTCCTCTAATCAGCTTTAAGTTTGTTGCAGATTAGCGTGCTGTGCAGTTTAATACCCTTATGGTTAGCTTAGCCGTCATGTGCGAGTAAACAAAGACAAAAACTCTATTTAGAAAATGTCAAGAAAACAAAAAGTTGCAGCCGAGTGGGCCGAACGCCTGAGAGGTAACTAAAGGCAGAGAGCTGAGGAACAAGGAAAGGGCCGGTCACCGGTGTCGGCTTCCAAGTTATGATCGTGAGATATTTTCTTTGGGTGTGACTTCATTGTTTGTCCGGTGAGGAAGTGCTGTATAACGCTGCTGCTTCTGCTTTCTGGAGACAAGGAAGAGTATCAAATTCACCTTCTTTGTTGACAGGTAACAGGGGAGCAGGGGATGTTCGGTTGAAGAAAGTCCCAAAACACTGTGATTAGTAGACTTGTACTGACACTCATTGGACTCTATGCAGTAATCAGTGTGTTTGGACTGAAGTCATGCTCAGGGAGGTCTGCTAGTATCTAGGTTAAAGGTAAAGGTGTCACAGAGGATTTCACTGCAACACACCCCACTTTTGACATCAGTGTAGTTTTTGCAAATATTTGCAGCTGTTATTTTTTTTTTACCAGTTGGGGAAAGAAAGGATTACTCTGTTTATAGTTAAATAAAAGCAGCTGGTAGTTGTTTACTGAATCTGTGTCGTTTCTTGCTCGCTTCAAACCAGCAGTGGCTTTGCAGAACAACATGAGACGCTTGGTCTCCTTTAAGAAGCCAGCCCTCAGTGCTGAGAAGGGTGTGTGGGTTTGTGTTTACATACTAAGCGGTCCTGTCATGGACTTGATGACCTCATAACAAGAGTCCCTATTGGTGCAGAAATGTAGGCGGGTCTTTAAGTGTCTTAAGCCAGGACCACTGAATGGCCCGAGGAGTGACGGCCTCCAAAAACACACAGAAGTTTGCCCTTCCTCTTTATTATGCAGGGGAGGAATTCTGGTTCCCACAAAACAAAGTGTCTGGATCATGCACTTTGGTGGTATTGCAGAGGAGCATGCACAATCATTTCTAAGGATTATTCTTTTTTATTAAACATGGCGGGGGTCGGTTCTCGTGTTGATCTTTTTCTGTGGGAGCTGAAATGAAGATTCAACCAGCAATTTAGCCTCAAGCTCTTCTCACAGTCATAAGGAAGGAATCCAATCCACTCTACCTTTTCCAGAGGAAGAGGAGAGGAAGTTAGCGACCAGCTAGTGAACATAGTGGAGCATTTTGCACCTAAAGCGACAAATGTTTCCCTTCAGGATTTAGTGGAGACCAAAAATAGAGCTAAAAAGAGAGTAAATATTGAACTTTATATTTCCTACCGGTCCAGAAACACGACTCCAAATCAACGCTTATGTTGTTTTTAATTCGTTGAATGTGAAATTATAAAATTGAAAGTGTTGGACCGGATATCCGCTGGCTGCTCCAGAACCACAGAAATATAGCTCCCCCCCCCCGGAGGCTTATCCGCCGCCAGACCGATAGCCGATGGGTCCCGAGATTGGCTTAAAGTTAAACTCGCCAAATCTAGGGATGCACCAATACCACCTTCTTTCAGACCAAGTACAAGTACTTACATTTGGGTACTTGCTGATACTGAGTACTAATAACAGAACATAATACTAACGGTGACTTTGAAAACATGTATTTTCATCAGATGTTCCTCACTTACTTACTGACTGTAACGAATAAAATATACAAGATGATGTTTTCCTGATACAAACAGAGCATAGATGGCAGCACAGGTGTTGATAATTAACCGTTTAACCATGATATCAGCAATATTAAGAAATACTACGAATGAAAACATTAGCTAGTCCACCTTATAGGACAGCCCACCTTAAGTGCACCTGAGTTGTTGCTAACCTCCTCCACTTTATCATCAGCTGGCGGCCATGCTTGTTTCACCTGCCCCCAGTGGCCAAACAATAGTAGTATTTACAAAAACAGGAACATTTAAGTTTCGTGCACCTACAACACGCAGAGATAGGTTGATAAGTGCCTTGCTCAAAGACACGTCAACACTGGCTGTTGCAGGTCTTTTGTTTAACGTCTCGGCGGGTCAGAGGACTGCAGGTGTCCTTGGCTTGGGTCTGTTTGTCGCTCTGGTAACGTGTGCAGGTTTGATTTGTGTCCCGACAGTGTTTTCAGAGGAAGACGTTTCATTTTGCTCGTATTGTCTGCATGTGATAAAGGAACTGAAAGGCAGGTCTTCTGTTGCCATAACACAAGGACCCTATCTGGTGTGAATCACTGTGGAAAGAGGCTTGGTGTGAATCACAAGTCTAAATGTTGATCATCCACACATGGTGACTGATGGTGAGGTATGAAAGATGGAAAGAGTCAACTGCTGTTCATGCCGCTCTCAATTTGATCTGAAGTCTGAGAGAAGCAAATAGACAGCGACATACTCCTCTCTGGTTTATTAACTTTTTGGTATGAGGAAAATCTCTACTAATCCGCTGGGCTCGTCTGAGATCAAGCGGCAAGTGAACTCTGTAATCACAAGAACACTGACGATAACATGCAGACCTGGGTCGAACCTGGACACGTTCCAAGAAGCAGCTTCCTTCAGTCATACCTGGAAAAACACGGATCCTCACCACAGTTCTTTCTTTTTTTAGAAAAATAAGTCGACAACTCAGTAAACAGGGAACAGATGTTGGATGTCAACATAGATTTCTTCATCTGTTTGTCAGATCGCTGTAGGTGTCATAAAGCGTCTTTTATGACCAGTCCAGCTCCACCATGGTGCTTAAAGGGGCCTGATACCAAACATCTTCAAGATATTTCAGGATATGTCGATGTGTGCGCTCATTGTGCTTGTTATGAATACGTGGTGAGGATAAAGTTAGCGGCTGACCGACCTGAACATTTTATTCAGTCGATTCCAGGGCGGCCGAAGCACAACCGCAAGTAAAGACACCTTGTCCCAGAAGAACTGGCTTCAACTTATGTAAGTGAGCGTTTCTAGTTAGATAAAAGGTATTATCCGGAAAGATGATATAACTGTTCGTCATGCTATCTGCACTGAAGCTCCTTTTTGCATTGGGTAAACTGGTCAAACTGGTCTCTTCGCTGACAATACTTCCTCTTCTCTCTGTTGTCTTGCAGCAAGTAACGTTCACGTTGATGCTGAGTGTCGGATCAGCTGTTATCGGCTCCCTGCAGTTCGGCTACAACACCGGAGTCATCAATGCCCCTCAAAAGGTGAGTTAAACGTCTGAATGTTTAGTTTAGTTTATTTCTAAAAAGATTTTACGGTGTGTTTCAGCTCGCCAATATTTCTGGGTTTGCACTATATGTATACTATATCATTCATACTAATTCATTTCCCCTTCCAAACCAGTCCCAGTGCTGGATGTTCACTCGCTTGTTGAGCTGAAAAACAGGACAAAAAAATGGAAACGGGTTTTGGGTTAAGGGGTGAGATAATAATAGCCACATTGGGGCCGATGTGGTCCAAGGACATCTTTCTTAAACAGACTCAGAGGGATTCCTGTGTAAAAGAGTGTGTCCATGCCCAAAAATGGACCTCTGCTGACCAGCAACAGGCTGGGAAAAGCTACACAAGGAAACTCAGAGGAGATCATGTGAAAGATTGTAGACGGTCGGTGAATCAATAAGTCTACAGTAGGTTTTATTAGCAGACAGGTACGCTAAAGACACTCATTTCCTGGGGAATGTCGACATCGCATCGTGCGCAAACAACCTCCGCCTGGTTAGTTTGCGTTGGTCCGAACACACCCTGTGGCGACGCAGCTGTCTGTCCACTGGTCACAGGTCGGACCTCAGCTCGCCCCTTTTTTTGTTTTTTGTTTACCCTTCACATGTGCAGAGTCCTCTGTGTGCCGGAGACGGACCGTCACAGCTGCTTGTGGCTGCTCTCACTGTGAGGACAGCCTGGTTTTTCCAACTGCCCGTCCTCTGTCACCACACCGTCAAAGCTGGCCCGGGCTTTGACGCGAAGGACGCTTTGTAAATCACAGAAGCTTTCGTCAGTCGTCTGTGAAAAGAGACGGGACACGTTCACTTATTGACACATTATAGACGGAAAGGAGTCTCGGTTAAAGATCAGATCTCTTATTCGTTTCTTCTTGAGTCATAATGAGCAGAAGAAGTGGGCAGCAGATGGCAAAGAAGGGATTTTAGGTCTTGAGACATTTGTGCAAAGACATTGTGCAATAGTCATGGATTGTGCAAACACAGAAGTAATGAAACTTAATACGAGAAAGCCTTTGTGTTCTTTTTAAATCTGGTTATGGATATAAAAAAAGTTCAGTCTGCTAAGTAGGCCACTAAAAATCATTTCAATAATGTTCTAGACCAACCAGTTAAATATACTGCAAAGCAGCAAATCCTCACATTTGAGAAGCTCTTTGTTTCTCTTAAAGAAATTACCTAAATAATCTGAATATTTGACTAATCGTTGCGGCTCCTGATCTCACTAGCTAAGTAATCGAGATTTACTGATATTTCACAATATTTAATCCGGTATTTTGCAGTTTCCCGGTGTCGCACCGATTTACTCCACCATGAAAACAGCTCGTGTTCGGCTTCATGCAGCTCAGTCAGGAGGGGCTGCAGACTGAGAGGGGGGGGGGGGGGGGGGGGGGGGGGGGGGGGGGGGTGGAGAATATGTGGTCTGTTACACACTGGGCTAGTGTAAAGCTGCCCTCTTGGCTCTTTATCCCCTTTTCCCAACACCCAGCCTCCGTCTCTCTCTCACACACACACACACACACACACACACTGAGAGGTCTGAGCAACTTCACCCGCTGAAAAACTGTTGCTCAACACATGCTCTTAATCCTCCATTAGTTAATGACCACTTAAGAGGCTATAATTTCACAAATGCAACTTTTCTATAGCAACAGCATTTGAGATTACTGCTCTGTGCTCCGGTGTGGGATAAATGCTGCCGTGATGCTGCCTGTGACGCAGGTCGAGCTCTGTGTCCGAGCGCCCCTGATTAGATACGCTCTTTCAAGGGCCGCACTGCAGCTCCCGGTCCTCCTCCTCCTCCTCCTGCTCCTCCTCCTCCTCCTGCTGCTGCTGCTGCATGCCTGCCTGTGCCACAAACCAAACAATATCCTTGTTTGGAACTTTTATCGAAAGGGTCATCTGTGTTGTGTGTGTATTGGTTTAATTTAAACTTCTTTACGGTTAGAGCTTCGACACCTTTCCTTTCCTGAAAGAAGTTTATTTGTGAATGTTTTCTTTCTGTGTGTTCACTTGATATATGCAAGGATGATTTTCTGTCGATCAGTGTCGAAAAACGAAAATCTACTTTGATTCAACCATAAAACACGCCTCTTCTAAGCATTATATGTTCATGGATTCTGGTTGAGTTGTTGTTGTACAAGTACCTTTAAAACTGTACTTCAAGTACAGATCTAGAGTAAATGTAATAGGCTTGCAGATTTAAAACTCAGCGATTAGCATGAGCTCCTCTAAATACGGCCGTTTTTAAAGGGTGGATGTTATGGGTACGGTGCGGTGCTCCATGACGTACTTGTGATATCACTGAGCAAGGTCTTGTGAGTGAAAGTTGATAGTGGACATGACCCAATCCTTGTGTCAACAGCATCCGAGTGGCCTCCTATATATATCCCTCCACCATAGGAAAGCTCTTAAGAAACGATAGCGCTGCTATCTTCAAATGGTTGGTAGGAACACTGCTGAGCTTTTATTACCCGTTTCACAGAGGCACATGACAGGGCTAGAGGTTACAAGAGAGGTAGTGGGGGGGGTGCGATGACAGGGTGCTGACCTTTCTGGATCATATGAGAAGTGTCCCACACATAAGGAGACACGGGCTCCGCTGGCTCGCCCTGCCGTGTTTGTCAACATAGTCACGGGTGATGATGAGGATGGAAAAGGGAGAGGGGGGGGGAACTTGACACTCAACCACAGCTGTTGAACTGGTAATACAGTGCTGCCATCAGCTGGTCACACAGCAGCAGCTCAACCATCACTTTGTAATAATGCAATAGAATAAAGCATGAACCTATTTAGTCCACTCCAAGAGAAAGCCAGAACGTATTCAAACGTTTCTTTTATTTCTTTTCTTAACATTGGTCTTGTGATATTTGTTCTCGTGGCAGGTTATTGAGAAGTACATCAATGAGACGTGGTATGAGCGATACCAGGAGCCCATCTCCAAAGGCACCCTCACGGCCATCTGGTCCGTCGCCGTCGCCATCTTCTCTGTCGGCGGCATCTTTGGCTCCTTCTCCGTCGGGCTCTTTGTCAACCGCTTTGGAAGGTGAGGTGAAAACAAAGCCCCTGCTGATGTTGTGACAGCGTGACATCCTCGGGCTTTTCTAGAAGAAACAGACTTTGCTGGATACAAATGCAGTAAATATGATGAATAACAATAAAGCTGTCATTGTTGGACTGGAACTTTTTAGGTCAATGTTTTCTGAGGCCTTGGGGCACTTCAGGCACTTATCTCGTCATTAAATATATATTGATGTTTTTAAACCCACACACTCTTGTGTGGCATAGATTTTTCTCAGCTTTTATGGTCTTAAAGACATAATTACTTCATTTTATGTGGAAGAAATGCTAAAAACGTGTCGGAGTAGGACCAGGGTCGATTGATAATGAAAGTGCACACGGTTTACTAATTAATTTAATGACATTGTGCTGGAAGGTACAGAAGCACATGAACCGAATGTAATTTGTCTGAACTTAATGTATTGAATGTGTCTTGTTCTCTGTTGCCTACAGGAGGAACTCTATGCTCATGGCCAACGTCTTGGCCTTCATCGCAGCCACTCTGATGGGCTTTTCGAAGATGGCGAGCTCCTGGGAAATGCTGATCGCTGGTCGCTTTGTGGTCGGCTTCTACTCTGGCCTCTCCACAGGCTTCGTGCCCATGTATGTGGGTGAGGTCTCCCCAACAGCCCTACGTGGAGCCCTGGGCACCTTCCACCAGCTGGGCATCGTCGTCGGCATCCTCATTGCACAGGTCGGTCAATGTTATAACGCTTTAAAACAACCTTCGAGCATCCTACTGCGCATTGCTAGCAGCCTGTGCGTGTGGTTCATGTGCGTTACTCGTGTCTCTGTTGATGTCAGGTGTTTGGAATGGAGGCACTCATGGGCAATGACAACTTGTGGCCGCTCCTCTTGGGCTTCACCTTCATCCCCGCTGTGATACAGTGCATCCTGCTGCCTCTCTGCCCCAAGAGCCCCCGATTCCTGCTCATCAACAGGAACGAAGAGAACAAGGCCAAGTCTGGTGAGTTCACATACACACACATAACTGCTGTATCCTACTATTTTTTTTAGTCTAATAGTGCTGTGTTTTTACACAGAGGTTTCTCTCAAATTTCAAGCATCGTCCCAGATTCCGATGGGCTTCTAAAATGTACAAAGATGTAATCAAAAGGAAACAAAACAACAAACAAAAGAAGGAAAATGTCGCTGAACTGGGGGTAGAGTTAACGACCTGCTTTCCCTCTTTCACGTTTTCAGTGTTGAAGAAGCTCAGAGGCACCACAGACGTGAGCTCCGACATGCAGGAGATGAAGGAGGAGAGCCGGCAGATGATGAGGGAGAAGAACGTGACCATCCTGGAGCTTTTCCGCTCGCCGCTCTACCGCCAGCCCCTCCTGATTGCCGTCGTCCTGCAACTCTCCCAGCAGCTGTCTGGCATCAACGCTGTGAGTGTCCGCGCATCAGACACCGTCCCGCTGTTCACTCTGAGGACTGTCAGTGGGAAACACACAGAAACACCACTTTCCCCTGACGTGCTCGGCACACATTCACACCTAAAGATATCCAGAACATGTCAGCTGTTGTAAATAAAGGAGACTCTCTCATGTTTAATTTCTTTGTGTTTGTCTTACTTGCTAGATATTCTACTACTCCACTCGTATCTTTGAGAAAGCCGGAGTCGAGCAGCCCGTCTATGCCACCATTGGAGCCGGTGTAGTTAACACAGCTTTCACTGTGGTGTCGGTGAGTACGGCTCAACTACTCCGATTTCGAAGGGAAATCCTCGTTACAGCACAGATAAATAAAGGTGTTAAAAGCATTAAAGAGACGGTGTGTAGGATTTCCTCTAGTGGTGGGGTTGTAGATTGCAACCAGCTGAAATAAGGTTCATCACATTGTCGTACTGCACTAACCTTGCTCTGACTCTTCTGGTTTCTTTCTCCGTGTAGCTGTTTGTTGTGGAGCGTGCAGGACGCAGGTCTCTGCACCTGGTGGGGCTGATGGGAATGGCCGGCTCTGCCGTCTTGATGACCATTGCCTTGGCTCTGTTGGTAGGTTTCCCTTAAGACAATGTGGCGGTCAAGATTCCCACCCACAAAAATGGCAGCATCTGACCTCCCTCTTGTCCTCTGCTCTTGTAGGATCAGCTCAAATGGATGTCCTATTTGAGCATCGTGGCCATCTTCTCCTTCGTCGCGTTCTTTGAGATCGGCCCGGGCCCCATCCCCTGGTTCATCGTGGCAGAGCTGTTCTCGCAGGGACCCCGGCCCTCAGCCTTTGCTGTGGCTGGTTTCTCCAACTGGACCGCCAACTTCATAGTGGGAATGACCTTCCAGTATGTGGAGGTGAGGAGAAAAAGAAAACATTTGGGGATGGTATTTGTGTTTGTGAGGTAACTATTTAATTCAGTATACAGAAATGAGACAAAATTCCCAAGTTTAGGTGAAGTTATCAATCGATTTTCAGAGGAATGGCCTTGAAAGAATCAATTTAAACAATTAATAATCATTCGTCACTCATTTAAATGAAAGAAATATATATATTTGCTCCTTCCTCACATTTTGCTGCAAACTTCCCAGTTTATTGAGGACTGAACCTTGTTTGGACTCCGCTCCTCTCCCCCTTATCTCTCTTCACAGGAGATTTGCGGCCCCTACGTGTTCATCATCTTCACCGTGCTGCTGCTCGTCTTCTTCGTCTTCACCTTCTTCAAAGTGCCGGAGACCAAGGGCCGGACGTTCGACGAGATCTCGGCCGGCTTCCGCCAGTCGGCAGGCGGCGGAGCCGAGAAGCACTCGCCGGAGGAGCTCAACAGCCTGGGAGCCGATTCTCAGCTCTGAGTGACTTTGACTTCCGACAGACTCTTCCTCAGGCCGAGGAGGTTTCGAGAAGGGTCTACGAACTAGAAGTAGACGCATCCACTGGTAGAATCATTTTCACACTGTCACCACATTTCGGGCATTTTTACCAAAACGAACAGCCCCGTGTGATTCTCCTACATGACGTCCTCCGCTGTCCCTCTCGTGTCGCACGAAGAAACACAAACAAAATGGGCACTATGTCGCCTGGTGTGGAGAGGGGAGCGGAGGATAGATAGGGAAGGTTTTTTAATATTTTAAAGATATTTTAAAGAAGGAAAAGAAGTGTCATCAATCAAACTACCTTTTTCAATCTTTTTGTTTTCACTTTATATATAACTGATATGTGCTTATGCTCTGTTCTTTGTAGCCTGTTACCATGAAATCTGTTTGTTACCATCTGGTTTAAGAGCCCCGCTGCTGTAGAGATCCATTCACTGTTCTTATCATAAATACTGTAATGCCGTATCACTGTAGACTGTAGATGCTGCACAGCTCCGCGACCTCACTCCCCACCAGATGGGGCACTGCCCTTAAAAAAAGGTCCCGATGCGCCACTGATGTGGAATAACTCATTTCTACCTTTTTTAAGGGACCGCGATATATCAGTGTACTGCTGTGAGGATTTTAATCTCCTTAATGAAATTAGCGCGCCACACATTATACAATGTTATTACTTATTTACTCTTGCTGGACAATATTTTACTCTTTTTTTAAAGTTGTTAGACAAAAGACTTTTCTTAGATTTATGTCCACGGAGACAGTAATATATCAAATGTATCCACCGTTCCTGTATTTTTACTCCCTCTTTAGCAGTACAATTGATGAAATTGATATCGACATGGATCGGTGCAAGAGGAACAGAATCTGCACAGATCCGTACCACAGCCCTAAACTTGGCAGAAGAAATAAATCATCCATCCATTTTACCATCGCAACAGATAAGTACGCGTTCACAATCAGCAGCCACAAAACCAAAAATAAATCCGCCTTACAGAACCACAACGTTTGTGGGATTAAGTTCCCTTCTGAAACAATGGAGCCTTCTCTGCCTTCAGCCGTAACAGCCTTTTACAGCCTTATCACCGAGGAGCAGTTTAAGGTCAGGTCGGCCTGATCTTCACTTTAACTATTTGTGAGCCGAGATTAACCTGTAGAGCTTCCGAAGTCTGGTGAATTGGCTCGAGAGCTGGATCTTTCCCCTCAAACGGGAGCTGCAGTGCTGCACACTGTTCCTCTGTGACAACTACGAAGCATCTTCAGAAAAGAAATCTAAGAAAGAAAAATAAATAAATAATGGGGACCAAAAGTGAATGTCTGCATTTTGGAAGGTTTTCCTTATCCTGGAAGTGCTTGTCACCTCGTGTTGGGTCAAACCTCCGTCGTTCCTTCATGTGTCAAAGGAGGTGGACACATCTTGCTTTGCTGCAAGTCTTGTTTTGTGCCTTGAATTCTGCAGTATTGTCAGCTCTCTCTTCGGGTAGTAGTATTCAGGAGTTAATGACTGCTGTATCACTAGTTGAGCCTTTCTTTTCTTTAAATGCATTGTTTGAGGAAAGTTATCTTTTTAGCAGCACTTTATTTTTCACAGAGATGTTTCTTCGTCGTTTTCCTTTTTTTTTTTACGTGCAGTGTGGAATCTTGTATTACTGAAGAGAGACTTGACTCCTTGATGTTTTTGAAATGGAAATGTGTGAAGTGGTGTCATTTGTTCATATTTATTACAGTCTCAAATTCAGTCTAATGACGACTTTGCTCCAAATTCAATACACTAGTCCAAAATCCTTATCATCATTCCATAATTGGTTGATAATTATTGTATTTAGGCATTTCCATATTTTGTCATCTGCTGGGCCACCTCACCCTCCCTGGAAAGCACTGTAACATCCACTTCCTGTGCCTTTGTCACATCTTCACTAGCAAAAGAATCGTGAAATGGCACCAAGTGATGTCCTTCCCAACACGGCAAATATCAAATCTTATTATCTTATCATTTTATGTACATATATTCACAATTCTGCTCGGGCATTTGGTTTTAAATGTAGCCTTTGAAATCTCCTGGTTGGTGGTCTAAACATGATGTAAATATGAAACACACTATGTACAGCCTCACCCGCTCCAAATTTATCACATATTTAACTTTAAGAAGCGTTTTTTGATAGATAAACGAATGATCAGTCCTGTAGAGCTGTACATCTCTATGCTTTTGGCTTCCACACTTACTACTGTTCCCTTTTGATTTTATACCTGAAGACATGCTGTGGCCTAATAATAGCATAATCATCTTAGTTTAGATTGTGTTAATGAGACGGATTCAGAAGTCTTTTCATTTTAGTGCACAGAGCCTATTCTAATGTTTGTAATAATAAAAGATCTGTGTGTATGCTTTTTGGATATTGGAAATATGAATTGAGATGGATGATGTCCTGAATGGTTATACAGTCTTGTGTAAGTGGTTTCATGCTGAATAAAAGAAATCATGCATACAGATGTTAAGTGTTTGGGGGTCAATTTGTCGCTTTTGTTGGAATTAACTGCAACGCAATAACTGATTCATTTTAGACACTTATCAGCACAAAGTAATTAAAAATATTAAAGATGTGGATATGTTGATTACAGCAGCTTCAACTAAACTGCATGAGATTTTAGATTTGGAAGTTCATTGCATCTCAGTCTTCATTGAGCTAATAGAATTGGCTCAGGCTTGGTCAGTTGTGGTTGAATACTGTATTAAGTTGTCATCATTACCCTCATTAGCTGAAGAAGACGAGAGATGTGGATGAAAGCTTGACAAAGCCAGTAAGTGGGCTGACCAGACAGACGTGAGGACACATGTTTTGGATAATAAAAACAACACAAGCAAAAGTGAATATTACTTAAAAAAGACACAGCTGAACACAAAATACCGTAAAACCATCACAAAAACGCATCGACCTTGCTAAATAACACACAGGAAGAAAATATTGCATACATTGGCTGGCAAAACCCTTTTATCAAATGAAGGATGCAACGTCGACAATAACACAGAGGCCAAACGACTCCCTCTTAACAATGCAAAAAAGTAAATAACTCTAGATTTGCAAATTAAACTTCAATATACAAAAGTGTCATCTCCCTAAACAATAACCTTGTGACTGAAACTGAACATAACAAGTAAGTTGGTGACCTGAGGGTGAGTGGACATGTTACTGTTTTGGATTTCTCAGTGCCACAAGCATTCGCCAACAAGACAAATTAATTGTGATTAATCTTTTTCTTTCACTATCTTGAGTGACCAGATGTGATGCTCTGGCTTCAAAGAAGTCTTTGAAAATATTCAAGAATCTGATCCCAGATCTACAATTTCCCTCTGTGGCTACAAATACAAGATGTCCCATTTTAGCTTAAATGTATAATATGCAACACTTTCAAATAAAAACAATGTATAGACTGATACAAAAACAATCCCTACCAATCATCACTTTTGACCTACTTGAAGCATGTGGCGATGTCATTTCCTCTTTCCTTATTTTTTGTGCGTGTGTTCGGGACGTTTCTGGGCGTCAGCAAAAAGCATTTGGACCCCACATGGGGGTTTAACCGCCGACCAATAAGCAGAGTGTGCAGCCCGTTCTCATTCCCAGGTCAAACACCGCTGCCTTGCCACGCCCCCTTGAAGTATAGAGGCTCAAGGCAAGTGGCACTCTTTAGCTTCTGATACAAGGCGGCGGAGAACCTGTTGTTACACCAGATGGTTTAATGTGCCAGCTCGGCGTTAAAAAGGAGTAACGTTACATCTTAGGATTTATTTAACCACATCTGACCTGGAGCCACACAACCACAGCCACACAGCGGCAAATACTAGAGTGTAATGATTATCCATCATCTGTGACCTTTATGCTTTAAACTGTTTACAAAATAAAAATGAAACGCTTTTACAGCAGAGAGCAAACATCCAAAACACACTTCTTGAAGTCCTGGTCTGTTCCTGTGAATTCGAAACAATTCTCTCGGTTGCCCAGAGCAATATCCCGACTAATGAGATACAGGAGAGGCCCAGGCAAATCCAAGCATTTACATTTGTTTGATCAGTGCCCTGGCACATGAGCGTTTGTAGCCAGACAGCCTGAACCTCCAGGGTGGAACATGCCTGTAACAGGGCCCAGCTTCCATATCCCCCTCCCCTGTTAATATACATTTACAGGGGAAATGTATATCCCCCCCCCCAAGGCATGTTTGCTGTTACATATAACGTTGATGTTGTTGCATGTCCTGGCATTATTGATTTCAGCGAGCAGGGAGGGGAAGATAATCCTCGGAGGGGAAGAGAGTACACAAGGTTAGCTGACCCCTATTAAATAGCCAATACCCACAATTTCTGCAGATTACCTCGGATTCATGCATGTGTAATTATTGTGACCAGTGGAGCTTGCGTGTTCGATTGTCTTCCTTGTTCCCTAATCCCATGTTTATGTGCTGTAAAACTTATCCTCACTGTGAGTTCATTGATAGGAACGGATGTCGGGGATTCTTATCTCTGTCACTCACACTGATCAGATGAATCCAGGTAACAACCATGGAACTATTTGAAAATAATCTTCAAGCTTTGAAACAACTGAGACGTGGATTCATTTAAGTAACGAGGCTGTGAATCAATACCATAGAAACTGCAGCTGATATCTTATACATTCAGTTTCTGTTCTGCTCATAAACCCACAGCACCCACAGGCCAGCAGCCGTGAGACAAACTCACGTCTAGGGATGAGAAAGATACAACTGATGATGAAAATTAGATGAAATCGATGTGAAAATATTGACGAGATGCGACATATGTGAGGAAGTGTGGGTGCTGACTTAAAGTCGATCTAGCCAGAGTATCACAGGGCAATCAGATAAAACATACAGCTCACACTCGTGATGAGAGGGGAGTTGATCTAAAGTGTGCAGAAACCTGTCTGTGAGCAGAATGGGATCATCTGCTAAACCTAGAAAGTGAACAAGAACCTCTTTCTATTGATTTGGCTTTGAGCAGGATGTTTGACCCCTGTATGCTCTGGGGAAGCTGCTCTGCAGTCAATGCTAATAGAGCGGTGGTTTCAAGGGAGACTGGACACAAAAACAGGTTGAGTGAATGTGAACCAGCAAACCTTCCCTGGAGGAATACATGTGGGTACACGATTGAGAAGGAGAAAGATGGCAGAGGGAGCAGATGCAACAGGTGAAATTAGATGGTTTCGCTCTGTGACAGCAGCGTTATTAGGATTGAGGTGCAATGTGATGTCCAAGTTGCAAACCTGTTTAAATCTTTGAAACAAGGATTCAAGATTTTTGATTAGCTTATCATAATATGACAAAAAGTCTGTTACCTTATTTGTGCCAGAACTGAAAATAGTGAGCAAAAATAAAACAATTCCTTATTTGCCTCTTCTTTTTCAACACCCATTTTTAGTTACTTTGTTGGATATTTCAGTTTTGGCACAATAAATAATAATAAATAAAATTAATTTATAGAGCGCTTTTCACAGACAAAAAAATCACAAAGTGCTTTAACAAAGCAGAAATTTAAAACAATAAAAAACACAATGTGACCATTTGGTCAATAAATTACATACACAGAGAAAAAAAATAAAAATAAAAATAAAAATAAATAAAAAATTAAAACATATTTTAAGAGCAGGTCCAGGACATGGGTTGTTACTCAAACGCCAGCTTAAAAAGGTGGGTTTTGAGCTGATTTTTAAAAGTATTCACAGAATCTGCGAGGCGTAGATTCGCAGGCAGAGCATTCCACAGCCTCGGCGCCACTGCCTCAAAGGCTCGGTCACCACGGGTCTTAAATCGTGTGCGTGGAACTGACAGAAGACCTAGAGGGTTTGACCTGAGAGTGTGGGTGGGTGAATATGGGTGAAGTAGATCAGCTACATAAGTAGGAGCCTGACCGTGAAGTGCTCTGTAAGTGATGGTGAGAATTTTGAAGTGTATCCTAAATGCTACAGGGAGCCAGTGGAGATATCGGAGTACGGGGGTGATGTGAGACTGTCGATTTGTCCTGGTGAGTAATCTGGCGGCAGCGTTTTGGATTACCTGCAGACGGTTAAGAGCAGATACACTGAGTGATGTGAAAAGAGAGTTACAGTAGTCAATGCGAGAGGAGATCAATGTGTGTATGATCATCTCTAGTTCAGGTGTTGATACTACAGATCTCAGTTTACTGATATTTCTTAGATGGAAGAAACATGATCTGGACAGCTGCTTAACATGGGGGTCAAACGACATGGATCGATCAAAGAAAATCCCTAGATTGCGCAGGTTGCAATGGGCAGCAGAGGAGAGTGGACCAATACTCTGCCTGATCATGGGGACAAACTCATCTGGAGCAATAACTAGGACCTCCGTCTTAGTGTCGTTGAGTTGTAAGCAATTTTCTGCCGTCCAGTCTCTGATGGCATTGACACAGTCCAGGAGCCTAGTTAATGTGAAGGCCTCACTGGGTTTGAATGACAGATGGAGTTGGATGTCATCTGCATATAAATGATAGGACACATTATAACTTTTTATAATCGGTCCCAAAGGTAACAGATAAAGGGAAAATAACAGAGGCCCCAGAACCGAGCCCTGCAGTACGCCACAAGACAGTGGAGAGGTAACAGACACAAAATCACCCACAGAGACATTAAAACTTCTGTCATTGAGGTAAGATGTGAACCAGTCTAGCGCTATGCCAGATATGCCCACCCAATCACATAGCCTCTTTATCAGGATGTTATGGTCTACAGTGTCAAATGCAGAACTGAGGTGCAGAAGAACTAACACAGAGCAGTCACCTGCATCAGAACACATGAGAATGTCATTTGAAACCCTCAGGAGAGCGGTTTCAGTAGAGTGTTGTCTGCGAAACCCAGACAGGAATTCGTCGTACATGTTGTGCCTCTCCAGTGCAGCAGTAAGTTGGTTGGCCACCACTTTCTCTACAATTTTGGACAGGAAAGGCAGTTTTGATATGGGCCTGTAGTTCATTGGCAATGCCGGATCTAAGTTGGGTTTCTTTAATATGGGCTGGATAATGGCATGTTTAAAATAGGAGGGGACAATTCCTGTAGACAATTAGGAATTGACAATAGATGTTACTGCAGGGCCAATAATTAGCAGAACTTTCTTAAATAGAGAGGATGGTATTATATCTAGAGGGCAAGATGATGGCTTTGTTTTGTTAATTAAGTCCATCAGGTCTTGAAGGCTGATAGGCTGGAAAGAGTCCAGAACAGTAGGAGATTGCGAGGAGCTACATGTAGATGAACAAATCCCAGGCTGAATGCCAGACCTAATAGCTGTTACCTTATCATTGAAATAGGTAAGGAATTTGTTGCAATCGTCAACAGAACAGCATGGTAATGTAGAGACAGACGGTGAAACAATTCTCTTAATTGTGTCAAACAAAATCTTGGGATTTTTCTTTGAGGAAGAGATTAAGTTGGCAAAATAAGCAGTTCTAGCTTCCTTTACTCCAGCATTAAAGGAAACTCTGAGGTCTTTGAGATATGAGTGATGCACTTCTAGCCCAGTGGCTTTCCATAGCCGCTCTGTCCTGCGACACTTCCGTCTCAAGCTGCAGACAGCGTCTGTCATCCACGGAGAAGTGTTGTAGGCAGCCCTAGTCTTTTCGTTAAAGGGTGCCACTTTATCCAGCAAAGTGGTGCAATGTTCATTAAAAGACTGTATCAAGAGTTCAACATCATTAAGATTTGTATTAATATCACAGCAGAAGTGCATAGAGAACTGAGCAGCTGTATGCTGAGTAATAATGCGGGAGTGGAATGTTTGTTTCAGACACAAGGGATGCCAAACTCTAGTACTTAGCCCACTAATAATTATCTTCGGTATATGCAGGCTTTGACCATGCTACACATTCTGAAGAGGATTTTCAAATTGCATTAATGATGCACCTCTTTGCTGTGATGTTTTCCTGGCTCTTGGTTCTGCTCTCGTCCGTGACTGCGTGTGCACAAATCCCTCTCTTGAGCATAATGTAAAGTCACTGCTCTCTGTTTCGCACTGGATCTAAACCTGCAATAGCTTCCTCGATTCACCTGGCATTCAATGCAAGTGTACAGGAGAGTATTTCATGATGTATTAACACAGTGGAGAGAACAGTGCCTTTTATTTCACAGTGAGAACAAACACGTTGAATTTAAAGTGTATTCGAAGAGTGTACATAAACTGAAATAGTGACTCAATATCTTGAATTCACGAAATTGGATTGAGCAAAGTGTCATACCTCCTTTACAACCACATGCACACATGCTCACCTGTTCCCACTTCCCTCATCAGCCCTGCAGATATTTAATCAGCCTTTTTCCACTGACTCCTTGCCAGTTTGGCAAAGTTGCTGTGTTGCTTTCTTGTCTCGTGTCTTTGCATTCAAGCTTCTGTGAGATTGTATGTGTCTACCTGCCTGCCTGTTAGCCGATACCTTCAATCTCTGATCTGATCCTGTCTGCCAGAATGTGTCTGTATTTCGGTCCAATCTTGCATTTTCTGTGCAGAAACAGGTTCCAGTCTTTTGGAGCTGCGTCAAATCAGACCTTTCTTTTTAAATCTGTCACTCACAAGACCTCCGACTTCAAGGAGGTTCAATGCTAAATCACTGGAGTGAATGTGGCTACAAAGTATAGACAATGTGACACTTTGTTATATGTAGAAATGCATATGGTCCTGGATGTGTTGACAGCATTGACGTTAACTTAAGGAAGGAATTTAAGAAGCTGGTACTGCAAAATTGAGTTTTCATGTAATTTGCTAGTCATGTTATTGTGAAGGACTTCTTTGGGAATAAAGACATTAATTTTTTATTAAGAATAGCAGAAGAAATATCTAAGTTGTAAAAGTAACTAGAATATTTCGCAAGAAATTTTGACAGTGTGGCTTCTACTGCCCGAAGACGTCGCAATATATAGCTATACATGCTGATGTTACCGGTAGTATCGTTGAGGTTCGATTGAGATATCGCTTCTCTCTTTTCTGCATTTTAGATTCATACTCTTGGATTGAATCTTGTATTCGTGATGGACAGTCCACAAATGGCTCCCGTCGTTTCTGTACTGGACATGTACATCTTTGTTTGAGAAACCTTTGGAAATGATGGGAGCTAACGCTGGGCGAATCTCTCCACGCTTCTCCTCACACAGCGTTGCCAACAGCGGCGTCAAAAATATATCAAAATGTGCGGCCTGATCGGGAATAGTGTGCTATCTATTTTTCGGAGAGATTCGCCCAGCGGTTTTCCCGAAAATTCCCGAAAATCCCCAAAAACTGAGCAAAATTTCTCCATTGACTTGAATGGGGTTGCGGCGTGAAGAGAGCTAAAAAAACACTTAACTTTGGCGCCTTATTGACGAGCCGTACATTAACGTAGAAACATGATTCAAAGTTTAAAACGTAGACAAAACGCTGCACTTTATTGAGCCAAATGGACATTTTGATAGCTAGCACAGTTTTCATGAAGTCACAGATTAAGTTTCAGGAAAATTTTGGGTCTGTTTCAGATTTTATAATAGGTGTGTATTGCGCAGCTCGTTAAGAGTTAGAGTGAGAGCATAACCGTCAGAGTGGAGCGGAGCAGGAAAATATTCTGTGATTTTTCCAAACAAATTGATCCAGCTCCCACAATTTTTACTCTATATACACCATTTTTGGCCAAAAAGCTTGGAAATGTTGTGCTGTCGCACACAGATGTCTTTGGAATCCAACGGACTTACACATTTGGCTCAAAGAGCCACAGAGCGACATGAACTCCAACCAACTGCTCCATTAGACTCCATGTTAAATCTGACCACTCATTTCTCAAAGAAAGCAGACGGTACCAGTTTTGCATATTGCGCTCGAGCTCACATTTTTAAGACCACAAACATAAAAAACACATCTCCGCGTTTGCCAGAGTCTTATCTCTCTCACGGTATCCATATTTTATTGATTAGTCTCATGGTTTTGGTATAAAGGGCATATGTTTGACAGGTAGTTTTGTTGAAAATCACTGTCCACTCTAATCTCTCTTAATTAGCCTCTAACACACAGGTGCTCCAATCACCAACATGCACCCAAGCACACAGGTGAGCTCATTAGTGATGTTGATAAACACACAGAGGCACTGAGACACACACGCACATACACTCCTCTCCCTCTATCTCTCTGGCTGTCTCTCTCTGTGTGTGTGTCTCTCTCTCATACAGTCATTCAGGTCTTGGAGACTTTTAGAGGATCCCCCCCTTTTAAATAAAAGCCACACACACGATTTAGAGATATACGTGATGCAGCTCAGCCAATCAAATATGGGTATTCTGATAAGTTTCCTGATTCGAGTGACATTTACACACACCACGACACAAGAGGGAGAGACGAGGAAAGACATGGCAGAGTAGGACAATAGTTATGTAAGCTGTAAATGATAAAACATAGGACAATCTCCAAATGAGAAAGATTGCCAGAGATCAGTCTCTCTCTGTCTCTCGCTCTCTCTGTCTCTCTCTATCATACAGTCATTCAGGTCTTAGATATTTTTAGAGGACTTTTCCCCTCTCACCCCCCACCCCATTTCAAATTAAAAGCCCCACAGAATGAATTCTAACTGGAATGCTTGTGATGAAGCCTCTCATTTTAGTGTCAAACATTATGATTCTGTCTCCTCTCCCCCTCTCTCACCCAGCCAGTCCCACCATTTCAAAATAAAAGCCCCACAAATACAAGATTCAATCCAAGAGTATGAATCTAAAATGCAGAAAAGAGAGTAGCGCTATCTCAATTGAACCTGAATGACACTACCGGTAACATTGGCGTGTGTATATATTGCGATTTCTTCGGGCAGTAGAAGCCACACTGTCAAAATTTCTTTCAGAATTTTCTAGTTATTATTGTTATTAAGCCCGCAGGATTACAATCAGTGTGCTTTGGCACAGGCAGTTTTACTGCCTTTGTGCCACAAAGCCACACTGAACTAAAGAAATGAAATGTTTTCAAACGTGGAGCAGGTTTTAACCGAGGCTCTGCTTGTAAATGAGGAAGCAAAGTTCACATTCACAGCGCTGCTCCTCTTCCTGGAATGAACCACAGCTTGATAACCCCTCCTTCTTCCTCCTGCTCTCAAACACAGCCGGCTCCACTCTGTCCACATATTTCCTTGTTCCCTCCCCTTCAGATCTACAGTTTTAAAGATGGGTGTAACCAACATGGTGGTGAAGCGATAGAGCTGACAGGCTCCATTCACTGAACAAACGCATGTTGTTCAGATCAGAAGTCAAAGCAGAGTCACTTCTAGTGAAGCGAAACTCAGACAGTCGTCACTGAGAGATAAAATGGCGCAGAAAGGAGTTCAGCTGGATCGGGAAGCCATCTCTTGTTCCATCTGTCTGGATCTACTGAAGGATCCGGTGGCTATTCCCTGTGGACACAGCTACTGCATGAACTGTATTAAAACACACTGGGATGAAGAGGATGTGAAGAAACTCTACAGCTGCCCTCAGTGTAGGCAGACCTTCACACCGAGGCCTGTCCTGCTGAAAAGCACCATGTTAGCAGTTTTAGTGGAGGAGCTGAAGAAGACTGGACTCCAAGCTGCTCCTGCTGATCACTGCTATGCTGGACCTGAAGATGTGTCCTGTGATGTCTGCACTGGGAGGAAACTGAAAGCCCTCAAGTCCTGTCTCGTCTGTCTGGCCTCTTATTGTGAGAAACACCTCCAGCCTCATTATGACGCGGCTCCATTAAAGAAACACAAGCTGGTGGACCCCTCCAAGAAGCTCCAGGAGAACTGGACTGAGAGGCAGAGAGAGCTGGAGGTGAGTCGACTAAACATCCAGCAGAGAATCCAGGACAGAGAGAAAGACGTGAGGCTGCTTCAGCAGGAGGTGGAGGCCGTCAATCGCTCTGCCGACGAAGCGGTGAAGGACAGCGAGAAGATCTTCACCGAGCTGATCCGTCTCATGGAGAAAAGAAGCTCTGATGTGAAGCAGCAGGTCAGATCCCAGCAGAAAAGTGAAGTGAGTCGAGTCAAAGAGCTTCAGGAGAAGCTGGAGCAGGAGATCTCTGAGCTGAAGAGGAGAGACGCTGAGCTGAAGCTGCTCTCACACACAGAGGATCACAACCAGTTTCTACACAACTACCCCTCACTGTCACCACTCAGAGAACCTACAGACTCGTCCGGCATCGATATCCGTCCTCTGAGCTACTTTGAGGACGTGACGGCGGCTGTGTCAGAAGTCAGAGATAAACTACAGGACGTTCTGAGAGAGAAGTGGACAAACGTCTCACTGGCAGTGACTGAAGTGGACGTTTTACTGTCTCCTTCACAAGCAGAGCCCAAGACCAGAGCTGAGTTCTTAAGATATTCAAGTGAAATCCCACTGGATCCAAACACAGCACACACAGATCTGTTATTATCTGAGGGGAACAGAAAAGCAACATTTATGAGAGAACAACAGTCTTATTCTAGTCACCCAGACAGATTCACTTCATATCATCATGTCCTGAGTGGAGAGAGTCTGACTGGACGTTGTTACTGGGAGGTGGAGTGGAGAGGAGGAGTTTATGTAGCAGTCGCATACAAGAATATCAGCAGAACAGGAAGCTCTGATGAATGTGTGTTTGGATGGAATGACAAATCTTGGGCGTTAGATTGTAACAAAAACAGTTTTACATTTTGGTACAACAATATCCAAACTCCCGTCTCTGGTCCTCAGTCCTCCAGAGTAGGAGTGTACCTGGATCACAGAGGAGGTATTCTGTCTTTCTACAGCGTCTCTGAAACCATGACTCTCCTCCACAGAGTCCAGACCACATTCACTCAGCCTCTCTTTGCTGGATTCAGGTTTTATTATGGTTATGGAGACACTGCTGAGTTCTGTAAACTGAAATAGTCAAAAGTGCTTTAAGGAACAGCTAATTCAATTTTGTGTTTTAATCCTGAAACTCATTTTGTCTCCATCATTGTCACTTAATTGCTGATTTTTCTTCACCTGTCAATCAAACATTGTTGGCGGTACTTTGACATCTTCTCACTATTGTTCTGTAAATGTTTGAGTTTCTTTAGGTGGAGCTCCTTTCTGTGTCTGTTTAGCCATGGAGGCTATCACTGCTCATGATGATCTTTGTTGACCTGAACTGATATTTCTCTTCATGAAAATGTAAACTCAAAGATATTTAGTTCTCAGCACTCTTTGTAAAGATTTCTTTAAGTGAAATTATGTTTATTTTCTATGACAGATTAAATGCTGTTCTTGTTGTTTTCTTAATAATTATACAAAAGAGGTACTATGATGTATTATATAACTAATTATTATAATCATAATCAATAAGTGAATCATTCATTATTCTCTTTTACGTAACTGAGATTCAGGTCAAACAAATAGATGATGAGGATGAAGTGAATGTGTTCATGAAATCATTGAACAAGAGTCATTGAACAGACTTTACTGATGGGATGTGAACAAACTGAAGGTTTACATGATGAATAAAGTATTTCTTGATTCAAGAATGAACAAAGTATTTTCTTCTTGTCTTATTTACAGGGTTTCATACAAACCTGATGGAGAAAATGTGAAACTAATATGAGAGTATAACTGAGTCACTTTTCCTCCTGAAACACCACAAAGTACAGAGTTCATGTTTATCACTTTTTATGACTTATTTCGACATAATCAATTATTTGAGCATGTTGTGTGTGAAAACAAAACAAGAGTCGCACCAGCAAAGGAAGAGAGCGACTCCATGTGAAGGTGAGCTTTGATAGCAGGAACCACACGGGGCCTTTTGCTCATGAAGCTTGGGACCCGCATCCTGCAAGACAAAGAGCCAGCGAGACAGAAGATACATGGACATCTAAGGAAAGGAGGAGAGATTCAGCAGCTGCTCATGATGAGCTCAGGTTATGTCTGATTGTCAAAATTACTTCCTTTATAATCAGGACATTTACCTCTACAGTATTTACCAAATCTCTACAAACTGGAATATTACCAAATGAGCAGAAAGTAGCACCTGTGGGTAAATGTGAAGTCCATTCAACAACTACCTCCCTCTTTCTGTCCCTCCATGTTTCTCAAAGAATTTAGTAAAGTTGGTTTACAATAAAATGCAGGAGTGGAACTTCCTGTATTACCAGCAGTATGGATTCTGAAAAAAAAGGTTTGACATAATTGTCTGTGCTTCAAAAAACAAGCAATATGCTTTATGCATATTTCCTATTTGATTCTGTTAATCAAACCAATTTACAAATGGTTCCAATTTAAAAAAACATCTCTCAATGTCAAAAAATCACATTTGCTGAAACTCTTTAGTAAATAAGTGAATTAGCCACAGGTCTCATCCACAGGTTTCCTTTGAGTCCTGATTGATGAAACTCTAAGCTTGAAGAGTCATATTCTGTTTGTTTTCAATAAAACATCTAAATCAACATCGTTGGCAAGTTTCAAAGTTTGCTTCACCAAAGGTGTTCAACAACTTTCTACACTGAAAAAAAGATTCGGCACCCCTTAATCCAGTTTATTTCATTGATTTTAATGTGTAATTGAATCCTACGTATCTTTTTTAATTAATCTTAAAATGTACTGTGCTCGTTTAAAATGAGTTAATTCCATTCAGGTAAAAGTAATGAGAAAGAAATATGTACTATTTCATTTCCACACGCTTTCCTGCCTGCGCATGGGCAGACTGCTAGAAATTCAAATTCTGAAGACGGGGATTTTTATAACCATATGTGTGTTGTATTTGTTCTAAAACAGAGTTTTCTTTACACTTGAAAACAGTGTTTGATAGAAAAAATACTACTTTAGCTAACGTCACAACAACTAACGTTACAACAGCTAGCTTAGTTGTGTAGAAACATAATGTGAAGGTGATATGTATGTTAACATTAAGCTAACATGGTATTGCTCTCAAGTGTAATGCTAGGTGAATTCAATTTTAGTAGCTTTTAAACTGTTTTAGTAGCTTGTGGACTTCACAAACATGCATGCAAATGTTAATGGACTATTTAAGTTGTAGACTGGCCATGCTGATTGCCAACTGTATATTCCTGACTGGTTGCAAGTATGTTTTTAAATCTTTTCAGTATGATAGAATGAGACAAAGCTAGACAAAGCTAACTGTGAAATCATGTTAGTAAATGGTGTTGAAGATGCTCTCAGACAGCAAGGGGTTAATGTTACCGTTGCAGCCCTGACACGGTAACATTAACGTTTAATTGCAGCAGCAAGCTGCCGGTAACGTTAACGTTATATTGCAGCGGCAAGCTACCGGTAGCTAGAGGTGCAACGGATCACAAACCTCATGGTTCGGTTCGGATCACGGTTCTTGAGTCACGGTTCGGATAATTTTTCGGATCAGCAAGGGGAGGAGACAAATATAACTTTGCTCACCATTTATTAATTGAAGAACTTCAAGAACACTTAAAGCAAAGAACTTTGGGCTACAGTATTATGTGAAGGATTTCAGTATTGACAACATTATTAGCAGGATTTAATAACACCCCAAGTGGTGAGTAGAAGTGTCACAATAATAGGAATGTCAAAATATGTTAAAAAGTCACAATATGTTTACTTATGGAATGTATGATATGTTTACAATATTCTTACTTATAGAGGATATTATATGTTACAGTATTTTACTCATTGAATGTATTAAATCATAGTCACTAAAGGTATTAAAACACTGTATGAATAGTTTTGAGGGTCAGAAAGAGATCATTTTGAGTGAGGCTTTACAGAGATGCAGCAGAGGACAGAGGGACGGACAACTGACCAGCAGGTCACAGAGAGGAGGAGTTCAGGATGTTTGCCACAAAGGATCGATAGTGGGAGGGGACAGGATTCAAATGGAGCCAATCACTGATCGCAGCAAGCCGGTAAAGTATATTGATTTGAAATTTAAAGTAGCTGTATTACTGTATGGAGCACATTTTCAAGCTGAATTAGGAACACGTGTGTATTTTGCTTGCACAGTGTTCTTTTTGCGAAATCCAACCAGTGTGGTCCGTCAAGAGAACGGTGAGCGTTTTTGAACGCATAGCTACGGGCTAACAAGAGCTTAAGCAGCTCCGAGAGTCCGGTGAACCAGGCTAATTGAATCTGGTGGCGGGGTAACGTGGGGTAAAGGCGACGGTCCCCCCGGGTCCTGTTTGGCAGGTTTGGATCTGGCGAACCAATGACCAATACCAAAGCTGATCTGATTTACTAGGCGAGGAAGTCTGGCCACAATGTGAGTTCTTCATCAAGACACAAATACATTTTTCTCCCACACAGGCTGCCAATGTGATGGCCTGAACTGTGCCAACATATAGTATATTAACCTTTTAAATAAACAATGAAATTTCCACTTGACAACCTTGTATTTTAATGCCTTTAGTTCCATTAGAAATTCATATTGCTTTGAGGCCGAGGTCAGATATCAAGATATTAGTCAGATATTAGTGAAACTTGAAATGAATCCAAGAAATGAGATTAAGTAGCTGCAGGTTTTTACCCAGAAGGAGAATCAACATATTGGATCAATTTCAGAATTTTCTTGAGTATCAAGTTTGGTGTCATGATCATCAAAATTTGTGTTTTGTTCTACCTTGGGCTGGGGTAACTGAAGAACAAGTTATTTTGTGCCTGCACCGATAGCTGTGCTTTACTTCCCATGTCACTTTTGCTGCATTTAAGTGAATATTTAAGGTATTTCAACATAAAGCTGGAATGGGTGTTCACTTGGAACAATAAACTGGACTGACCACATGCATTTTATGAAAAGGGTCAGAGCAGACGCTATCTGCCGAGGAGACTGAGGTCTTTGAGTGCAGGGAGCACTCCTGAGGACCTTCTTTGACTCTGTGGTATCAACCATTTTTTAAGGAGTGGTCTGCTGGGACAGCAGCATCTCGACAGCCGACAGGAAGAGACTAAACAAACTCATCAAGAAGGCCAGCAGTGTGCTGGTGTGTCCACTGGATACGGTGGAAGTGGGGGGAGACAGGAGGATGATGGCTAAGCTATCATCCCTGATGGACAACACCTCCCACCCCATGCGGGACGCCCTGGCAGCTCCTTCAGCCACCGGCCGAGTCACCCCCGGTGAATGAAGGAGAGGTACCGCAGGTCCTTCCTGCTGCCGTCAGGCTGCACAACCAGCTGTGTTCCCAGTGGACCACACAACACTAAAAATCTGCACTATATAAATATACCGCGCAACAAAAAATTCTTCTGTCTGCATTTATAATAATTTTAGTTACTGTTGATTTTTACTTGTTTAATATTCTTTACCGTCGTCTCTTGTTTTCATCATCCTCTATGCTGCAGTAATCCTGTACATTTTTCCACTGCAGGACTAATAAAAGGATTATCTTATGCTGCTGCAATACAGTAGAAGTAGATACTCTCAAAACAAGTCAGGTTAATACACATGCTGCTGGATATTTTGACCCTATTTGATATTTTGTAAGTTAGCCTTCTAAAATACAATCTGAAAGAATCCCACAAATCTTTCGGGTCAGGATTTCTGGTGCATCATTGTTTTTTGAAAAAAGACAAAATATCAAATCCCAGGATGCTCATTGTCTGACCCCACTCTTCTTCCCCTCCCCAGAGAAATAAGGAAACCAAAATATCATTAAAAAACTTTTATTCAAAAGAGATATAAAAGTACGTACAAGCAGAAAGACGCTACCGTTTAGCTAAGGCTGTTGGCCAGGAGGGAGCGGTTGCTGCTGAGGCTGAGGCTGTCGGCCAGGAGGGAGCCGTTGCCCTCGGCGCTGAGGCTGTCGGCCAGGAGGGAGCGGTTCTTGTTGTTGCTTTCAACAATAACTTTTAGGTAGAGAGCTGATGCCTCAATATTCACTTCATTGGCTTCCACTGTCACTGAAATAAAGACAGTCGATTAATAAATTTAAATCGAGGAAGTGATTTTCATCTTCTCTTCTCTTTACAGTGCTTTGAGAATTCTCTGTTCATAAACTTAAAGCAAACACTTGCTCTTAATATCTGGCTTTAAAGATTTAAAATATATACGTTTTACTACAACACTATAGTACATACACCTCTCACCGTGTCCAATAATAAATACGCAGCAACTGTATACCAGAAATTTTATGGTCAATGCAGCTTAGACATTTTTTTGGAATCCAAACACCAAAAGCCAGACAAAGCATTAATGAAAACTTAACTAACCACATTATGACACCAGGAACCTGAGCCGTACACAAACTTGCATTTCTCCAATAGGGTTAAGCAGAACCTGCTCACCTTTTTTATACTTTCGCACAGACATGGCCTCATGTGAATCGTGAAGTGTAAGGGCCTTCTTTATGGAAGGTCATTGGGAGGTAGATCTAAAGTACAAAAGAAATTTAGTGTCAAGAAGTTCAGAAAATCTCAAATATTAAAATAGTCACCAATATTCTTACCTCTCATTCTCCTCTGTAGCCCATTAGCGCCGCTTTCAGTTGAGCCACCAACAGGCAAACAAGAGCCTATGGACACAGTACTTTCTGTTAATCAAATGTTTTTGTGTTT